ATAAGTATAATAATAATAGAATAAATAAGTACCAAACAATAATGTTAATATAATAATAAAAAAGATAATAATGAATAACAATGAAATTAATAACAATTATAGCCATAAAAATTATATTAATAATAATTAAACAACCTAATAATATACAGCAGCAACAACAAAGGAAACATAAGCATGAAAAGGGATAATGGAAGACCATTGAAAAACAGTGGAAAAAGGACAAAACAATTCCAAGTAAGCATCAACAACGACAGCAACAGCAAGCAAAAAAGAAAAAATAAACCATGGTATGCATTTCGAAAGTGAGATTCATGGAGACTTATATTCAGTTACTGAAAAAATTAACGAAAAATCAAATGAAATAATTAATAGAGGAAAAAAGAAAAAAAAACGTTAGAAGCATCAGCAGCACGACAGCAGCAACACAATTATTATGTATAAAAATGATGGGATTATTAAAATGTTATCAGAAGTTAGAGTTCCGACAAGATCTGACTGGTCAAAACAACATAAGAAGCAGTCAAAACATGCTGTTAGTGTTCAGGTATTATCAGTTAGTGAGTTAATATAGAGTACTTAGCTCTTCATGATTAATATCTTGCATAATTCAGAAATGACGAAGTTCGGATTCGGACTTGATGAAGACTTTCTTCATGCTCTTCTTTATCACGCAGTAAATCCTGCCGTCCATGGACCATGCAGATTCAAAAGCTTCACTTCTTATTGCTTCCTTTAAGAGCTTTAGCCTTTTCGATGTAAGATTTTCAGTGATTGAGAAACCAGATTGCTTAAGAGATTTTTTGTTACGGAATACGGCTGAGCGTGTGCGATAAGAATGAATTTGATAATGATGGGCCTTGGTTTTGGTTTATGCTCATTTCCAACTTTTCTTCTTCCTAATCGATGGGTACGATCGAGATCGCACAGCTCAACCTCATTACTAATCCTGGAATTAATCACGTCAAGAGCCAATGAGTCCGTATTTTCGTTTATGGACTCAGGAACGCCATGAAGAAGCAGACAGTTGCGTCTACTATATTGCTCTAGTTCGTCTAGTTTGTCCACCATATCACGATTTTCCGGCTAGGAGCTTATTGTTTTGGTCACGAAGACTGGCTATGTCGCCCGCAGCTGTCTCGTTGTCATAGGCAACGCTTTCGTAAATATGATCACTAACCTGATCGATAATGGTTTCGCTGATGGACGAAATTAGTGATTTATTGTTGCATACAGCTTTAATAATTTTCTCAAACAGTTCAGGAGAGGACAAAATATGGTTGCTAATGCTCGTTGCAACAATCGCAATCAATTGAGGGTCGTCTGACAGAAGATCGTGAAGTGGGCCTAGTTCTTGTTGAGAAGGCGTTCCCGGTGTCGCTGTCGCCGCTGATGAATCAGGACCGCTCGTAGCCGGTTGTTGGCTTAGGCCTAGGTCAGACTTGCCTCTGTTGACGTTAGATTTATCAATTGCACGTTTTGATTTAGTCGATCTGGTTGTTGCCATATTGTTGTGTTCTTAATAAATAGCAGATTTAGTCGGATAAGAGTAGGCCAAGTGCATAACTAGCAATTTAGGATACTTTTTTGAGGAGCTATTAGAACATCGACTCTTCCATTAACCGTGGCAATCTAATTAAACCTATTAAAAATGGTCTTACCTCAACCCAAACCAGGTGGGGCTGAGTATAAAAAATTCACCCTCCCTGCCCACCTCACACACTTTATTTTATATTATTGGATCCGCCACTGAAAACTCTTTAATGTTATTCAAATTACATCTTCAAAATCGATTAAAAAACAATTGAAATTAACAAACATGTCCAAACTCAACACCAGCAGGGCTAGGGATTTCCCCCTAGGCAGCCCCCCCCCCCCCCCCCCCCTTTGGTCCCCCCCCCCCAATTCCGCAACCATACCGGTACCCAATACAAATCCTGCGTACGGGCCTGTTTTTACAATCAAAGAAAGTCACAAAGCATTCGATTTTGCTTACTGTTCTTGTTTTAGTATGCATAGCCTGATATTCCGTCAATGACGTTAATAACGACAACAACAATTGTCAATAACATCAAAAATAGTCGTCAATAACTACAACAATAAATCATTAAAATAATAGAACATAATATCTGGAACAAGAGATTCTGAGACTTTAGATGGCTGGCAGCCTGGCATACCTAAAACTGCTTACCAAATAACAATAAATATAATAATTATATTAATAACGAAAATATTAAGTTAAAATAAATATAAAATAAAGTAATATTAGAAATTTTAAAAAATGTAGATATACAATTAGTCTGATTTCAGTGTCTACAAGATTATTATGATTTCAGTTAAAGGCTAAAACGGGATAATTACACAATGCAAAACTAATAAGGTTAATGAACTAAATTAGTACGAGGAAAGGTGTAATTACTAATAATACGACAATGTTTATAAAGACCAAACATTTGTCGAATACTACAACAGATACTCACATTTTTTTTAATTATTATTAACGCAAGATTATGTTAAGTTTTTTTTTTTTGTTTTTTTTTTTAGATGATGTAAGTAATTGAAATAGTAAAATAGTGATGAATTCGTTCTCTCCCTCGAAAAATTTACGGTTTTACATCATGGGAGACAATTTTTTGTGATTTGTTTTATTGTCTAATGCCTTCCGATAAAAATGCTAATCAAAGTTACGACTTGGACGATACACAGTGTCATATCGATTGCAAACCAACAATTGAATAAACGGCGTGATCGATAACAAGAATACCGTACTCGCGCGAATAAGCGCCCCGTTTGAATAAGCGCCCCTCTGGAATAACGTGAAAATTTCCTTAAGCGCCCCGTTTGAATAAGCGCCAACTCATAAGATTTTCTTATCAGTCTGGGACTGTGGTTGTTGGCATGATTTGAGCTGTAGAGTGGAAACACATTCTTCTTCAGTCAATCAAAATAAGGATATTTCTCTTGGACAGATGAGAGCTCCGATCCCTGGACAGACAGTATATTTCCAACTTTGGTGAAATTAATTACGCAAAATACGAAACATGATATACATATGAATTCAGATGAGAATATGGTAATTAACAACATAATTCAAATGAAAACAAAAGCTATTTATTTAAGTTTTGTTAACAAAAGTTTTATTCCTCCACAAAGTCAGTGTAAATGGAATAAGGTATTTAACAATAAAGATATAAATTGAAATGATGTTTGGAAGCGAAAAGTGAAAAATGAAAAAAATAGAAAATATGCACAATTTAAGTATAAATTATTAAACAAAGTTGTTCCCACCAACATGCAACTATATAATTGGAAGCTAAAAGATATTAATACGTGTAAAAAATGTGGAAAAGTGGAGGATGAAAAACACATGTTCTTTGAATGCATAAGTAATAATATGCTATGGAAAAAATGACAATATTTTCAAAAACCTTGACAACAGCAGTAGTTCTTTTAAAGAACTCCTCCTGGGTTGTGACAGTAAAATTAAGAACCAAATATATTCCATTGCAGTCTACGCTATTTACAAAATTAAAATTTTAACTGAGCTGAACAAGCCAGTATGTACGAACCCTTGGATAGCGTTTAAGTATATTGTAAAGAATATGAACGCAATGGGCTTATTAAATATGCCCTTTATTATTATAAAGATTATCATTATTATTAGAAGTAGTATTATTGATCGGATGGTAAAATTTCAACATCATTACCATTACCAGTGATGTTGCCAACATAATGCGATAGCTCTCTGGTTTGCAGTTGGTGTAATTGTAACGAAATTTTGAGAAAAAAGTTGTATTTGATGTATATAGATAATTAATACATACGTAAATTAGTATGCATGTATGTATTTGTGAATATTATAAGTGTGTGTGTGGGTGTGTTTTTGTATGTGTGTGTGTGTGTGTATAAACTTATATAGTGATGTACGTTTGAAAACGTTAAAAAATGACTAAAAGAAAGTTCTTGACTTTTGTTTTCATTATTACAAAGATTATTATATTAATTATTGATCTGAGATGGTATTGACTTCATTAACATTATCAATGATATTACATCAGCAGCATACGTTACCGTTCTGTTTTGTACGTAAAAGAAAAACAATTAGAATTGCTGAAAAAAAAAATGTATAAGTAGGACTATATGGTATTGGTGTGTATGTATGTGCGTATGTATATACAGTATACATGTGCATGTGTGTAAGAACAATTTTGGAATATTCGATTAATTACATTTTGGGACCTAAAAGAAAAAGAATATATTAAAGTATTTTTTAGAAATTAATAAAAGTTTAAAAGATGAGTTCAAAAAATTACAGTCAGCCATTACGGACTGACCCTTTTTAAGGGCAAATTAGTTCTAATTTTTATGCTTTATGTCATTGATGACAGAAAAAAAAATCAAAATATAACAAAAAGAGATAGAAATAAAGGTGGGTGAAACTCCCACGAAATATATATTTTTCTTCTCTATTTCAAAACTTTATTTCAAAA